CATGGCATGTCAAACAACCGTCCCCTGTGGCTCGAGGCTGTGCGCTGGGACGGGTTACAACGGTGTTACTCCCGTGGCGTGAAGTTTGAGTTGCAAATGTAAATGTGCCTCTCACACATTTGTGAGTGCAGACCAACTCCTCAGCGAGCTTGATTATTAGCCTGTAGCTGTTAGCACAGCTGCCATTGTTGCATTTCAAAGCCATCAAAGGCAGTGGCGAGTGCTGCCCCCAGGAGGATCAAAGAAGGGATTACACAACATGATTTTTTTCCAGAGCTGGTTCATGTGGCAACTTTCTCAGTGCATTGCTCCAATCCACACCCCTAAATTGGAGCTACAAGCTTCCATGACCCAGGGTCACCCAGCCAGGGACCATCCAGGTGTCTGAGTAAAGTGGACAGATCAGCTGGGGGTCCTACAGAAATGGGACTTATATATTTGGATTTATTTCCCCCCGAAATAGAACTTAATATTTTATGTTTATTGAGTTAAAATATTACAACCCAAACCATAGTCAATTAAGAGAACCATACGTCTGTGTGTGAGGAAAGGTATACTCCTGTCTTCAGGGCACCGTGCTACTCAAGAATCTGGTCTCAGATACTAGTTCAGTGGCCTTGTGGTCCACCCTGAGACTGGGTGTTTGGAGGTTTGATTCCCCTGCTGAGGGGCTTCCTCCCTCTCAAAAAATTAAAAATAAATAAAGAAAAAAGTTACAGAATTTATTAAAAAAAAGATGATTCCAGAATTATTCAAAAGTAGGACAATTAATAAAGCCACTGCTTGGTTAAAAATAACTGGCAGGTGTTTTCATTAATAACCTCTTTGACCTAGCAGTGGCTAACACATGTTGTGTTTAATTCACATGATAACTATTTTATGTGTTTAAATAGCATTAACTCAAAAGTGTGTCTAGGATAATAACACAGGATGTGTAAATATAACATAACAAATGTTAAAATATAATAACACAAAAAATGTGTAAGATTTTAACACATTCATTTTGAGAGTGTAATCACCATTTCCTCATCAGCATACAGATCAACAGGGCTGGAGAGCATTTCATGGCAGTCTCACTGATGCAATAATGAATATTACATCTCAGGAGCTAGCAGGGGTTGTTCTGACTAGAGACAAATCTAAAGTCTGCAGAAGTCGCCTATGGCTGGAATGGAAAAGATGTGTATCATTTCATATGATCTAATTTCAGGGGATTGAAGGTTTCTTAAAATTTAATCTACAGTTTTATAAATTATGAAAATCCCTTGAATGGCTAAAGCAGTTTTTAAGTTAAAGTAATAGTCTAACTGTGAAAAGCGTCCTGAAGCATAATTTTGGAATACAATAATTCTTCAAGCTAGAAGAACCTGAACCTGAATCAGAACCAAGGAGCAGCAAAGTCTGGTCTCCCTGATTTTTCTGTAATTTTTGCTCCATTTTATTTTTTATTATTATGATTATTATTATTATTTATTTTTTTTTTTTCTTCCAACAGTCATTGTGGGAAACGTCAACCCTTTGGCCAACAAAGAGGCATTGGTGAAGACTGAGAAAGCATACCATGAGTGCAGTCGTGTTTTACTAAGACCTGGTTGAATCAAAACAACTCAGACTCCACTGTGGATCTACCTGGCTTCACACTCATAAGATCAAACAGAGATGCTAAAGCTAGTGGCAAGAAGAAAGGAGGAGGTCTGGCTTTATTTGTCAGCTAGAGATGGTGTAAGCCTTCACGTATAACTGTCAAAGAGAAGTTGTGTTGTCAAGATACTGAACTGTTGGCAGTTGCTCTTCGGCAATATTATGTTCCAAGAGAATTTAGTCATCTCACAGCGATACTTGTATGTATTCTCCGTGACACTGTTGCTAGGATACAGACTCAACATCTTGAGGATGGCTCCTCAAGAACATCCAGGAGACATCTACCATGTCACCCTCTCCTCTCACCTTACTAAATTTACATAATTTGCTAACTGTGCCTTGAGAGAAAATTTTAACATCTTGCCGTCTGTCAACTGTGACATGTATGACTTATATTTGTTTGAGTTTCTGTCTGACCTTGACCCCATGTGTCCTCAACCATCACTCTAACCAACAAATCCTCACAGGGTTGTATCCTCTGCTGTACCTATTGCCAGAGATGGGGACTCGAGACATTGTGACTTGGACTCGAGTCGACTCGAGTGACTGGAGTCGCTGTTTCGACCACTAGTAACTTGACTAAAAATGAAAGACTTGAGACTTGACTTGGATTAAGAAGTTAAAGACTCGGGACTTGACTTGCCTTGAGACATGATGACTTTAATGACTTGAGTGTTGCTTATTTCATGGTTTCAGTTTTAATATAAAAATGAAATTGATATTAATATCACCCCGTATGGGCGCAGGCTGAGAATGACGCAACATCAACACTTGTCAGTCAGTCATCCCCTCTCTGCCATTGTTATCAGAGACTAAGAAGTGCGCCGTGAACATGTCTGCAGGAGAGACCCACTGTCATCATAGATGGATTTAAAAAATTACCACTGCAAGGCCAAACAACAGACTGCAGAATGTAAGACATGCTGGACAAAGATTTCAGACAGCCAGATTACAATGTCAAACTTTGTCCTTTAGTGCTTGTTTGCCAGCGGATACTTTCATGTTTGTCAGTCAGCTTAATATGACGTTGTATGATAACATTTTACAGACATTCCAACCAGTTCATCACATGAGCTCGCAACAGCGGGAGAAATGGGCTAATTGACATGCCAGCCAACTCACAATCATTCTGTTTTCCTTCTATTAATAAATCTTACATGTGTGTGGAACAATAAGCCATGTTATGCAGTAGCCACATTAGACTTAGGCTGGTTGATCTGCAAGTGAGGTCATCCTCATGGCACAAAACTGTTGATACCGGCAGCAGACAACTCCCCAGATTTGATCGAGATATGCAGACTACCCCAGTCTGATTGTAATTATGTCAGGCCACATTGACTGTGAGACTCACAGGTTTTCAAGCTGCACGTTCATTTTCACATGCAGTGAAAATTGAACTGCTGAAGTGCTGAAAAAGTAAACTTTGCAACGATAGGGCAGGCGTACTTAAAGATTTGGTTAAAACTGAGTAACATAAGGTTCTGAAGTTGATTAAATACTGTTTAAGATTAACTAAATGAAGTACTGGTTTAAAAATAGAGTAGTTAATAAGTTAAAAACACTCCTAATATTACTGAAAAACAGATCATGAAGACCCATGCTGTCATTTCTGCTTTGTTTGATTCTGTGTATTTAACTGAATATCAGCAAAAACCATGCAATGGATACATTGGCCAATAACTTTAAGTGACTAATATCTTGTCTTTTCACTTTATTAAGATCAGCTTGTGCACATAAGGCAACTTGACTTGGACTTGACTTGATGTATCAGAGGACTTAACCTTCAAGTCTCCACTAAGTCCCAAGTCATCTTTTCTTGGGCAAGTTAAGACTTGAGACTTGGACATGTGTGACTTGTTCCCATGTCTGCATATTGTACACCTATTACTGCACCTACTACTATCCCAGAAATACCATTATAAGGTCTGCGGATGATACCAAATCCAGTGAATCTATATGAAGCTGCTGGTGCTGTTTTGTGATGATGTGGTACACTGGATGCTCAGCAGTGGACAAAAAAGCTTGTCTTAGCCCGATATGTAACAAATACTCAAAATGAAACAATGACCCAAAATGTAATGGAAAAAAAAGTGATAAAACCAAAATGTAATATCTGGTCGATAACTGAATTTATTGAATTTCCGTTGTAGGATAAATAAAGTTCTTCTTATTCTTATAATGTAACAAGATGATCCCAAAACATAACAACTTGTTGCTGAAGATGTAGCAACTTATTACATTTTGGGTCCTCGTTACATATTGAGCTCAAACAAGGCCATAGTGTTAAAGTGTTGAACACAGCACAGAAGATGGTCAGCTGTCCTCTTCCCTCCGCAGGGGAAATTGATAAAATACTCTCTTAAGTCACAAAAATTGCATGACTGCTATCACCAAGGTCCCTCGTTTGAACTCCTGCCCTCTGAAACACACTGGAAAGGTCTTAAAACAAGGACCAGTAGATTCAAACACAGCTTCTTTCCCAGGGCAGCTACAGTCCTGAATCAAGCCAAACCTTTCTAATGCACTCCTTACACAACTTGTTATCTATTACTGGGATTATGTGAGATGTGTTATTTACATAGTAGCGGAACAAATCAGTGCCGGGCCGAGGGCAGGGCACATGACAGAGCCCTTTGAACCCAGTAAGGCTTGTGATAATATCACTTACATACATATGCCTGCAACAGTGGCATTTACAAGCATTACTGCATATTTTACACACAGTTATGTCAATTTGAAGTCAATCAAATAGATATGAAGTCTAACAAACCAAGAGAACAAACAATAAAAGCATTAGACTGCCTGGTACTTAACTGGCTAAGGTTAATCAGACTCAGGTTCATCTCCAGGTGGGCTCAGGAGGTAGAGGGGTTGGCAGTTCGAATCCTGTCCTATCCCTAGTCTGTCCATTGTGTTCTTGGGCAAGACACTTGCAAATGAATGATGTATCCAATGTAAAGCTCTTTGAGATAACTGACAAACAGCACTATAAAAGTCTGATGCATTATTATTATAAAACAAATATGTGTCAAATTTTTGTAATTTGGCTTCTGCTCACCCTCTTTTTTTCTTTTTATTTGTGCTAAGTTTTTAAGCTACACATGAGTGTCCCATCCCTCTGTGTTCCAGCAGGCCCCTCCCAAAAACAGACACTCGCGCTTGTTCCGACTCCCCAGCAATTTACTACTAGACTAGTGAATTATCATTATCATTACCAATCACATCAGCAAAGACTTGAACAACTTTGGTCACAACAGAGTCAGCAGTAGTAACGGTGCATAAATGATGACACATAAGATCAAATACAACATAAATTTATTGGAAAAATAATATCCAAACAATAAGTCTTCTTGGTCAGATGTATATCTCGTGGGGCCTTTATGGTGTTCAAATGCTTTGCTCTGGACTTTCTGTTATATAGCTTGCGGTGCCTGAAATGAAGAGAAGGAGAGTGTGGTATGAAGATGTTACTCTGTCTCAAATATCAATTGTACTTTTTTTATTTTATTTTATTTGTAAACTTTCCAAGCTGCTTTATCACTCAACAACACCACTACGCGTGCTTTTTTTAAACAACAATGGTGCTTACAATTAAATTCAGATATAATAAAGATAAATACTTAATAAAATAGAAAGGGGGCCCGGTCAACATGAAAGTAAATAGCATTGGTGCTACTGCAGATGCCAGCAGACAACCATGCAGACACTGGCAACTGTAGGTGTGCAATATGATCAAAATGTCACGTCCTACAACCTCTTCAATACATCAGCACTCATACACTGGCCACTACGACCGTTTACAAGCAGAGAAAAGCTAACATTGGCATCAGGCCAATACGAGCTACAAAAGTAGCTAAGCTGGCAAACATTACATTTATTTTGAAAAATAAAAAGTCCACCAAAGCAAATATTTACCACTCCAACAAACACAAAGCCACTGCTCTGTTGTCTCCACCGCTCAAAGGCTGCCCCGATGTTGACTCTAGTTTGTCCTCTTGCTTTATCCAGAGCCTTCTTCATCGCAGCCCTTTCTGCCTCTGTCTTTTTCTTTTTTGGCTGTGTAGCCGGCCGAGCCGTCATGGGTACTGTGGAACTTGTATTTTAGGCTGCTTTTTCTCTGCCTTTGTAAAATGGTCACATATTCCCCAGCTAACAAGGTATTTCAGCAGAGAGCCGTCTTGCTACCTGCAGCAATGGCAAAGCGATGCTTGTGCCTGCAGATGGGATGGGGGGCAGAGGGGAGCTGGGTGGGCCCAGGGCGAGACTTGAAGGCATCTGGTTGGTTCTTTACATTCGGACCGAATGCTATGATTGGTCAAAGTTTTTACAGTCCTGTGGCTGCCACAGATTCTTTTTGTTTCTCTTTCTGAATAGATAATGAATTGACTACTCACAGGGTGGAAGGACCATTTCATCCACTATAACAAAAAGTGTATCTGAACATCACTACCTACCCTGCCTTTAATCCACCCAAAACTAGACTTTCGGAAAAGATGTAATCACATTTCTTTGACTAAAACCCACCAAATTAGACTTGTTGTATGAACATACTGAAATGTTGCAGTTAGGGAGCTACATTCTCTTGCATGAATACGCTTCACTTGAACTCAAACTGGCCCAAGTGTTCATTGTATGCTCCACAGTTTGCAAGTCAGGATTAAACCCACAAATTGAATAGAATAAATCTGCTGCAGGTAATGCAAAAAACCTCAAAGGGAGAAGAAAGGGACATAAAAATAATCCAAAACTATGATATCATATACACGGAGGGTACAGAGTTGTACAGTTGTTGGCAATTTCATCATTCAACATGAAACAAGTTAGCCTCTCGATTGCATGTTAGTTGATTGTTTTGGTATGTGGCATTAAGAGGCAACTGGGAAACTGCCCAATAGTAACAAGCTGAAAGGGGACATATCTTTTTTGACATAAATGAAAACTAATATCTCTAAGACAGGTTTATTATATCTGGTTAAATTAAACACCTATTCCTCCACATTCCTGTCTTTGTCCAACCACACACACGAGTTTATAGCCTCTATAAGGCAATACAATTTTAATAACATGCAATACCATTTTAATAATATGATTTTCTTATTTCCTCTGAAGGCATGTTTGTTTTTGTATTACAGTAAGCAGACAGATGGGTAGCTTCTGGTTATACTAAGGTTGAGATGCAGAATAGAATAGAGACAAGGCTTTGAAGAAATATGTCTCCGCCAGTGTTACTTTTTGCAGCTGTTTTAGATTTAGTTGTAGTCTTTCGACGGGAATTCCTTTTAAAAGTAGTCGCATCAGCCGTCTGATAGTTTTACTCTCACTCATTTTTGCTTGATTTTTAGTCTGGATTGGATCCATAGACTGTGTATACTTTCGACAACTTGGTTCCACCTTCCGCCAGTATACAGATTTGAAGCTGAAAAGCTCTCAGTATTTCTGCAATTTTTCATTTCCTGAAACCAGCATTGCGCAGTAGCATTGTACACATTCTGCTGGAGAGTCGCCAAGAGTCGCCGTGATGACGTTCGGCTCAAACAGCGTATCCCCTGGGTGAGCTACGCAATCTTCATACGCCCACAGGCTGTATCAAGTGTTAATCATAGAAAACATGAACCCTCAATAACTTACAAACGGAGCGGTACAGCAAAAAGAGGACTTGAGCACAAACCAGTCTTACAGTGACTACATGTCAACATCACAAGCAGGGGGGAGAAAAATGTATATTCTGTCTAATAAATTTCTAAAGTTTGTTTCTTCATGGAAATGCAATCAGACCGAAACGCTAAGGCAGAAGAACTACTGCATCTGCAGTGCAAAATGATTAACATGGTGATTATTACTTCAAGGAAATGATACAGAAATGAACATAAATGTTCTCCCTTGACCCCGCAGCAATCCGTAATGGACTGGTCTGAGGTCTTGCGACAGACAAGCGGCTGCTGGAGGAGGGTGGGTAAGTTGTGTTTAGTCTCTTTGCTAAAGAAACCAGGCAAAGCTAAAAAGAAGTTTGGTGGCTAGTGCTATGTCTAGGACCCTATATGTACTGTTGATGAAGTTAGGTGCTGTTCTGAGCATTATTTGTGGCTATAGAGTGGCGTTTTTGGTTGAGGTTTGTTGATGGCTCCTCAGACTGCTGTGTATCGCTATCCTGCATTTGTTACTAAAGTTGGTAAAACTAGAGAGGCAAGCGGTCGGCAACTTTAATCTCTCGAGGGGGTGTCTCACTCTGTGATATGGTGTGTTTGACACAAAATTAATTTTACGCCAGAATATCGCTGTGACTCCTATAAATCTAAGAATTTTTTAATGAATGATATTAAAGATATAGGCTATAAACGTCTATAAAAAGTCTGCCCATATAAGACATTGCACTGTTAGGCTTGTTCAGTTCTCTTCGGCCATGAAAATGTCTCCTCTCTAACCAGTTTAATTAAATAAAATGGGAATAATCTCTTTTGTCAGTGAAAAAACACATCTTAGTTATTTGAGGCTAATACTGCCCCCCTGCAGTCAGAAATAGACAAATAAGCCAAAGTGAGTGTCCTTGAAAAGTCTGTATATCTGAAATTTCTTTCTCTGTTTTTCTTTTTCAAGATGGATTTGAAAAATTGCAAAGCTGTCCTTTAATATTTAGTTTCACAGTGAGAAGAAACAAAGCAGTCTCAGTGCTTCATCTGCTCCTGCTGTTTCTATCTGACATCAGAGACAAATCGGCACAATGTTTAGTCACCTCCCATGGTTTCAGCTCTGGTGGAGATGCTACCTCCTCACATACAACAAACTCAGATCAGTGAACAGAGTCATTTCTCTGCTTGTTCATAACAAAAGGACCTCTCCTCTCTGCTGCACTTGCATTCAGATGTTCAAATGCTGAAAATAAGCTGTACTGCTGTGCACAAGGTTTAAATCAGAAAAAAAAAGAAATATCTGGAAATTTTTATAGTTTTACTTCTGCTTTGATGACTGCCTGACTTATGATGGACATTAATAAGCTGAGGAAAAGATGGGTTAATTACTTTGTTGAAGCAGCATAGCTTACTGACCAGCCACTTTATTAGGTATACCTGTTTAACTGCTTGTTAACACAAATAGATGAGCAGCCATTCATATGGCAGCATCTCAATGCTTAAATTCATGTAGACATGGTCAAGACAATTTGTTGTCGTCCAAACTGAGAAGCAGGACAGGAAATAAAGAGAATTTAAGAGACTTTGAAGGGGGGCATGGTTGTTGGTGCCAGACAGGCTGAGTACTTCAGAAACTGCTGACCTACTGGGATTTTAACTCAAAAAAGAAAAAGAGAAAATAACCAGTGTGTAGCAGCTGTGTGGACAAAAATGTCTTGTTGATGTTAGAGGTCAGAGGAAAAGGGACTGACTGGTTCAAGATCATGGACTGGTGGGGCCCACCCCCACGCTATGAGTTAAACACACCTTGCGTGAACACAAACACGAGTGAAAAAAACACAACCCTCAACAAGCAGCCAGTGGACCTACTGTCATTACAGTGTTGCAGAAATCCCACCACACAGACACTAAAACATATGTGGATTCATACATGTAAGACGAATGTTAAACTCGCCATTGCTTCTTCATTGCTGCTAAAGAACAGCCTCATTTGGTCGTTAAGCCAAGTAAAGTCTCTGGCAACCTCCATAGCATCCACTGTTGGCAAAACATATTTGTGTATGTGAGCACACATCAAATTATTTAGTCTCTTTTGCGTCATTGGGGACTTTAGGTAGTTTTTCAAACGACAGAGGGATGAGAAAGACCTCTCAGCACTGGCAGTTGATATCAGAAACAGTTTTATTAGCTTGTGTACCTCTGGTAAAAGAGTTTTTGACCCCGAGTTTGCATTGATTGATGCTGCAACAGATAATACAGCGAGACCTTTGTGTGCAGATGCCTGAATCACGCCAGTTCGCATCTCAAGCTGTTAGCATGAATTTTCAAAGTTAGATCCTTCTCATAGAGTGCCAGCGTGGAGGACGGAAAACTGACAGTTTCCCTTTTTGCTGAGCACATTATCAGGTGCTCCAAGTCAGCTGCCATATGCAGGTCTTTCTGGTGAACATGTCTTTGTGATTCCCCATCAAGCAGATCCAAGACTTAAAAGTACAGTCAAAAAGCACAATGTGAATAATTTTTGTTAATTTTCTTGTGCGCTTTTGCATTATATTTATGCAAGTTTTTTTTCTCTGTCAGATAAAAACTCAACTGAGAAACAGGCTGCAAGGAGAGCATCTTGCTGCATGCATGCGAATCAGCATAAATGGACCTGACCTTGAATCCTTTCCATACAGAAAGGCATTTCAAAACAAAGAAAGATACACTGCTCAGACACAAACTGTTAGCTTTGTAAATAGCTTTTTTTCCTGTTTTCCTTTGGGTTTGTTAACAAAGCAACAGTCTGTAGCAAACTAAAATTGTAAACAAATGCTAAAATGCCATGTGCCAAAAAAACTTCTCATTGGTCAGTGTAATGACAGTGCAATGTCTTATGTTTTATATTTGTTTTGCATCTTAAAAAGTGCACAATAAAATGTGACACTGGATTTAAAAACAGCACATTGTGATTTCTGCATTTATTATATAATTATCAGTAATAGAGTGAAAACAAGAGGAAATGTGAATTATTTACATTTCAAGTCAAGTAACAGTGTGCACCCCTACATTTTCTGCTTATGCTCCTAAAATTTTGTGTTAGGGGTTTCTGTGCTCATGGCAAAACAAGTTAGTCTGAAGCCCTGTATGTGCAATAAATAATGTATAGTTCATAAACCTTAGTTTGACTAAATTATTTTGAATGCACTTACCAAATACCACGGTGCCACCCTGCACCGCCAAGCCCACCACCACAAGTGACTTCTCAACCTAGGGGGAACACTGCCATCTCTGAGCTCACAACACATTGAACCTTAAAGCAAATGGACTACAGCAGCAGAAGACCACACCAGGTGACATCCTGTCAGCTAAGTCCAGAAAACTGAGGCTACAGTTCACACAGACTCACCAAAACCAGATTATAGAAGATCCAAAAAATGATGCCTGGTCTGATGAGTCTGGATTTCAGCGGCCACATTCAGATGGTAAATTTCCCCTCAGGGATAAATCAAGTTTCTCTTATCTCAGAGTGGGTCAGGATTTGGCCTAAACAGCATGAAAGCATGGATCCATCCTGCCCTGTATCAGC